GGAACCTAGAAACACTCATGAATTAAAATAAAGAGTTCAAATACAACCGAAGAGCTAACTAGCTCTTAATGACAAATGGAACATCACCAAAGCCAGTGAGCTAGATACACAAGAAAGCAAACAACTACAACTAATAGAAAATAAAGCAAATACAAGCATTTGACCCCTTACCTTATAAGGAACAAACAGAACACCTACTAACATTCAGCAAAGTAAAAATAAGGTAGCACATAACTGAAGCTAACTGACCAAAGGACCTAAGCTCCATTTATGTCTGCCAATGCAACTAGCTACATAGCATCATTCTGAGGTGAGTGACATTCATTAAATTTAGTCCAATCTGCCAAAGCAAGGCTTATTACCTCTGCCTCTGTTCTCCAAACCTTCTGAAAAATCCACAGATTCCTGGTTTTCCAAATCCACCATAAGATATAAGTGGATAGTTGGATTCTGTGCTCTGAGATCTCTATCTTGCTCATTGACGGAATCCACCACCACCAGTCCCTGAAACTCTGAGCATCAAGCATAGAATTCCCCTAGTCCAGAGGTGCCAGCTTCCATATTAGCTGTGATTTGGGGCATTGGAAAAAAAGATGTTCCACTGTTTCAGGGGCTTCATCGTTACAATGACACATATGATCTACGTCCAGACCTCTTCTGTGAAGGTTGACTCATATAGGCAGTGAGTTGGAGAATGATTTCCAAAGAAGATGCTTGATTTTCCCTTTGATTCTCAGTTTTCAGCATCTCTCTCTAGCTGCCTTGTCAGCTTTGATGAGTTGCTCCCTTCAGCCTTATCAATTCTCAAGGTTTTTTGCAGCATCGGGTGGGCATAGACATTAGCCACTGTGAAGTCCTCCTTCATTTAGCCTCTCCAGTACCATTTGTTCTACTTTTCAGGTCACAGAGTCTTAATGTTGAGGATAGTTGCAGCTTCATCTTCAGTGAAAACCTCCTCAATCAACTCATGGTTCCAGGATCTCCTATCAGGTTTGATTAGCTCATAAACCTTTGTAATAAGGTCCATATGAGAAGCTCTCCCAAAAGGAATACCAGAAGGAAGGTCAGGTACCTAAGGATCATGCCATATTCTTGTGGTCTTGCCATCAGCCACCTCTAGTCTGAATTGGCTTTGATAAGTGGTCTTTACCTTGATCTAGTTGTTCCACATCCATGAAGAGTTGGTAGATCTGCAAGCCTAAAAAATGGAGCATTTTGGAAAGTAGTTTTCTTTAAGGATTTTGCTCACTAGCAAGTTGGGGTTAGTGGCCACTCTACATATTTGTTTGAGGATCATAGCTTCATTGAAAAGTTGAACATCCTGAAAGCTTATCCCACCCCAGAGTTTGGGGTTATCATAAGTTTCCAGTCCTTCCAATGTATCCCCCTTTTATGATCATCACCAGAGCTCCACCAAAACATGGCACACAATTGGGATATTTTCTGACAAATCCCTTTAGGAAGGCAGAAGCATGACATAATGAAAACAAGCATGGCATTCAAGACTGACTTGTTAAGTACCTCTTTCCCAATAGATGAAAGGTATTTGTTTTTCCAGTTAATGAGTTTTGCTTTGACTGCCTCTATCATAAAGTTGTAGGACTCTTTCTTTGATCTCCTAATCCCTAGAGGCATGCCGAGGTATCTAGAGGATATATGCACTGTGATGCCATTTAAAGTATCGCAGATACTCTGTTGGGTAGCTGGTGGAGTGTTTTTGCTGAAGAAGACAAAAGATTTCTCCAAGTTGACTCTTTGGCCTGTGAAGAGTTGATATTTTTGGAGAATTTGCAGAAGACAGACAGATTGAGATGTATTAGCTTCACAAAATATCAAGGAGTCATCTGCAAAAAGCAAATGAGTGAGCCTTGTGCCATTCTTAACCAACCTCAGTCCATGAAAGTTCACCAGTCTAACTTCATTCCCAATAAGTCTAGAGAACATCTCTGGAACCATGATGAAAAAGATAGGGGAAATGAGGATCCCCCTGTCTAATCCCTCTAGAAGGTTCCAGATAGCCACACATCTCACCATTAATATTGAATGAGAATGAAGCTGTAGAAATACAGGCAAATATCCATTGCACAAAGGAAGTCTGAAAACTCAGACTTAGCATGATCTTAATAATATTGTTCCACTCAATCCTATCAAATGCCTTCATCATATCCAGTTTTAATGCCATGTAGCATTTAAACCCATACCTGAGCCTATTTAAAAAGTGAATAGCCTCTTGAGCCACAATCACATTATCAATAAGAAGTCTCCCTTTAACAAAGTTTGTCTGGCTGACATTGATGAATCTACCCAAAAAAGGCTTCAACCTTGTAGCAAGAATTTTTAAAACTGTTTTATATGCCCCTTTACACAGGCTAATGGGCCTATAGTTGCTCAGAAACAAAGGATATTGGCATTTAGGAATTAAAGTTAGCAGGGTGTGATTCCAGTTCTTCAACATTCTACCAGATACAAAGAAACTCTGGATAGCTTCACACAAGTTTGATTTAATGACTCTCAATAGTTCTAGAAAAAGTTAGGGGACACACCATCTGAACTAGGTGCTTTCTCAGGGTTGAGACTGAACAGGCTTCTTTGATTTCAGATTCTTCCACTTTGGCTGTGAGGGTGCTGTTGTCTTCTTCCTGAATAACCTTCAAGAATAGAGATAGCAATTATGATTCCCCAAGGAGCCCTCTGATGTGAAAAGGAATTTATAGAAATCTGTCACACCTTCTGTAATGCCTTCCTTGGTATTTCTGAGCATTCCATTCATGTCAATGAGTCTGGATATAACATTAGTTTTTCTCCTCTGAAGGGTTAAGGCATGGAAGAACTTTGTGTTCTTGTCTCCTTCCCTCAGCCATTGATTCCTAGATTTCTGCTTCCAAAATTTTTCTTCTTGATCATAGGCTTTGTTAAGTTCTTGCTTCACTCTGTCCCACTCTAGCCAGTCCCTGTTGCCTCTATAAAAGTTTAGAGTCTCTAGATGGGCAGATAATCTCTTAATCTTTTGCTCAAAGGTAGAGTGAACCCTTCTGCTCCAATTTAGCAGTACAATCCTGGTTAGCTTAATCTTCTCATGAACCTTGAACATTGGGATCCCTTCAAGTTTTTGGTTGCAAGCCCCTTTGATTACATCACAAATCCCTTCCATCTTAAACCATCTGGTATCAAATCTAGACTCCTCTTTTTTTTTTTTTTAAAGTCCATGTTGTAGCACAAATTGTTATTTTTACCGAGTACCGAATCGAAAGATTCGTTCACCGGGTCGATCTCACGAGGAAGATGGTTTGGAATTCAGCTTTGGTATTGATAACACACAAAATGAAAACAACTCCTAAACATTCTAATCAGATAGAGATAGGATGAATTATCAACTAAGGAATAACTAAAAACAATAATCTACCTAAAAATATGAACAAAAAAAAGATGGAGAAGCTAGAGAATCGGGAATAATTAATTCAAGTTCTAGCAAACCCGGGCAGTTAATCGTTCGGTTCGAGATTGACACTCTCGCTTAGACATCTAGCGGTTCGCTCCCAATAACTCTTCGTAACAAGGGATTGAACATAGAAGAATAAGCTCGAGTATACAATACATGTCAATTATCCAATCCCAATAACTTTTCGTAACAAGGGATAAGACACCGACAAGCATGTATTTTAATCCAAAACCATAGATTATTCAATTACGAAATCATCTACCTCATGTGAGCCTAGGTCTACGACTTTTCCCCTTTCGGTTCTGAAAATCGCTAATTCAATTAGAAGGTGTTTAATCGACTAATCATTTAGAATCAACAAAATTCTAACTCGACTAATCAATATTCATTCGTTTCCAATTGCAAGATCGAAGTGTCACTCTTCGATTATATCAATCAATCAAACAAGATTTCATCAATTCGTAATCAAATCAACCTTCATAAGAACGAACAATTCAAGCCTGAGAGATACGAATTAAACTAGAATAATCATCCCTTATCCCTAGCAATAAGAATTAGCTATGTAACATGAATTCAACACAATCAAGCAATTCACCCCAAATAATCATTCTCATGAATTAAACAAGATAAAAAACTTACAATTAATTCAATCCAAGAGTTGAATTCAAGTTACAAGCTTAATCCCTAACAAAGAAGAAAAAAAAAATGGAAAAGAAGGGTGAAGAGAAGAGGAAAAATGAAGAAGAAGAAGAAGAAGAAGAAGAAGAAGGAAAGAAGAGAAGAAGAGAGGAGCGTGTTTTCTCGAGACCTAGGTTTTCACCCGGTTGAGAGATAATATTTTCTTTTGGATGTCGTACGCTTATTTATATTATTTCATAAGGTCACGCGTAAAAGACTCGCTGCACGGCGTGAGGAGGAGCACCGCGGCGCGGGGCTGTGCCGCGGCGCGGAGAGGACCTGCTGCGTGGCGTGTCATCCTAGCGCAGCGTAAAGGTGTCATCTGCCACGCGCGTTGGCAGGCACGGTGCGAAGGACGATCTCTGTCGCGGCGTGTTGCCAGGCGCGACGTGAAGGGGTGGCGTGCCGCGGCGCGG